ACACCTTCCAACATTTCGGATAGTTAATATATATGTATGTATATATTATTATAAATTTATTTACAAAACTGAAAATAAATTGTGTTATAAATGTAATTAAAAAATAACTAATTGTAATACAACATAAGATCTAAATTATATGCTATAAATAATTTTCTGATTATGTTAGTATATGTATATATTGAAAATTAATCAATAATTATATATTTGTTTGTCTGGTTGTTGGTTTGCAATAACATGTGTCACTTAATTGTTTGTCGTTTTACTACATCAATGGTTAAAATAACAAATATATGGGATACTTTACTGTTTTATGTTTTTTAATATATTTTTTTTTTTGGTTTATTTTAATGTCATTTTTACTATATTGTTTTGTTTTTTATTTTGTATAAATATTTAAGGTGGATGTTATTTCCATTTATTTTTCTCGTTTATTTTTGTTTTTTAATTTAGCAATTCATGTTTTTATTTTCTTCGTATCGATTATAATGCTGTACACTGAGTTCTTTTTAAATATATTTTTTTTATTATTATTTTTAATATATTTGTTTTTTATTATACATTTATTTATATTTTTTATTTTTTTGTTTCTATTATACCCATTTCTGAATAAAACATCCATAAACTTTAACAATTATTTTTGTTTTACTTTGGTTGGTAACATTTCCTTTTTATCTTCGTTTCTATTTTTAGGGAAATTATTATGCATTATGTTTTATTTATTATTTTGTTTTATGTTAATATATGTTTGGCCCCCAAAAGTAGAAAACAAATAAATAAAATACAAAATTAAATGTATGCTGGAAATGAAATTGCGAAAGAAAACCAACTACCATGCACAGTGGAAGAAAAGGCTTTAAGTTGTTTTTTTTTTTTAATATTTTCGAGTAATAGTTTTCTTTTATTTTTCATCTTCTTTTCTAGTTTTCGAATGTTTCTAAGTTTGATTTTATTTTTTTATGTACCACACAATTAGTATTTTGTTTTTAATTTTTTTGTATTAGTATATATTTCTTTTTATTTAAAGCATTTTTTGTCTTAAAATTTGTCTACACATCCGTTTACGCTTTGCTGTATAATTTTTAGGTTAGGTGTTTTTCTTTTTCAGTTCTAATGTAAGTAGAGTTTTTTATATATTACAGAGCTGGATAAAGTTTCACGTACATTTATAGATTTTTATGATTTTTTTATTTTTATTAAATAATGAATAAATAGAAAAAATTATATATTTTTATAATTTATAAATATTTTTTTAAGATCAATTTTTGAATTTTAAATATAGTTGAATTTTTATTGAATATAAATTTCGAAATGTATAAATTGAAGTCATTAAATTTTAGTACTGCAGCTTAATATATATCTGTATGGGAAAATCGAACCGAACCTTGGTCATGTCCGATGTCCCATATAAGGATGTCACCATTTTTGGTATTTTGAATGTCCTAGCCAAATTTGTCTACAAAAATGGTGAGGCATTAATATTACTCCTAGTATCTTTGATATTAAAAAGGGGATATTTTGCTATATTTTTGACATACTTTTAATATGCTGGAACCACTTGGTTTTCAGAATTTGTACAGGATTTTTTTATTTGTTTTTTTTTTTTTTTTTTTTTGGGCGTGGCATAGTTTCTAAATATCGATATTGAACATTTTCTGTATTTATAAGGACATAGAGGTATTTTTCATTCAATAGGCTGTAGATTGCATAGTGTTTCCAAACATTAGAAGATAACCTAATCCGATAACTTAAGATATAAATGCCGTCTTCGGAACACACCGAACCCACTGTCCCGCAGTAATCTTACGACTAAGGAGACAGGATGTAAGGGGTGTACTTCAATTGGTCTCCATTTGATTGTTTGGTCGTGGAATGGAATGAAAACCTCTTCACCAGACACGTTCAATATGTGCCCGAACATTGGCAAAACGTTTGCCGATTCTTTTTCAGTGCGTGTGGAAAATTCACTCCATCCCAAATTTTTATCCCAGATTGCAATACAACATCGGCCACAAGGAAAACAATCTATCAGCCCAGAATCGGTTGTATTCTATATATTCAAAATGCCTAAAATCGTTCGGGACCGCCATATATGGCTTAGGGCCAAACCAAACGCTTAAGTAGTAATAAATCCGAAAGTTTTTTCTTAAATCCTCAAAATCCCAAAATGCGAACACTGCATTGTATAATGCGATTAGGTATTTTTAAATACAGAAAATGGGATTGGAATATTATATAGATGCTATAGTGACCTATATCGTCAAAATGGCAGAAGGTCCTCAAATTTCAAATGGCAGCCACTTGTGTTGGAAGGCCTTCATGAACTTCAAAATTGTAGCCTAATTTGGAAAACAAAGAGGTTTATTTCCTGGCATACCGAATTACGTTATATTCACTTAAAAAGTGGGACTAAGGCGGATTTTCGGTCGGGACCTAAAAAGGAAGCAATGTCAAAACATGATTATATATCAACAATTATTTTGTCAGGGGATTGTCCGAGCAAACACAAATTAAAGCAACTTCGATTGGAAAATGTGTTGAAGGCTATCAGTTTTTCATAAACAATCTAAAAGGAATCTTTCGTGAAAGAGCTGAAGTGAAACGACCCTTTTTGGACTAGCTGAAGACCAGAGATGCCTTTGACAGAATATTTTCTTCTTAAAAAATCGAATTGCCAAATTAAATTCATTTCGGTTAGAAAACGCGGCTAGGAGTTGTTTAAAGATGACTTGAAGGCTAGAGTTTTTCATAGCGGAGTTGAATGTAGTCTTTTATGGAAGATTTGAAGTGGAAGGACTCTTTCATACACTAGCTGACGACCAGAGAGTCTTTTGTCAGGAGATTTTCAGAGCATCCATCCATAAGTGTTAATTAAAACCACTTCGATTAGAAAATGCTGCTATGACTCCAGGAGTTTTTCATAGATGGCCTAAAGGAAAGGCCAAAGACCAGACAGTCTTTGTATATGAGCTGATGGCCAGGGAGTCTTTGTAGATGAGTTTAAGTCAATGTAGTGTAGACACTACACTAGACAGGCTGAAATACAGGAAGTCTTTGTAGGCGAGTTGAAGGTCTTCTACAAATATTCTTTAAAAATCGGTGAGTCTTTATTGACGATCTATTTTTTATTGATCTTTAAAGAATTTTTTATTGATCTTTGAAGAATCGAATTTTATAAGAATCATACCAAAATACTGCTAGGACCCAGGATTTTTCATAGATGGGCTGAATACCAAAAGTTTTTCATAGACGAGCTGAAGGCCATGTAGTGTTTGAAAACAGGATGAAATACAGCCTTAGTTAGTAGAGAATTTAGTGTCGATCTAAGAGGATTCTTAATAGGGATCTTTGAAAAATACCAAATTTCAAAACATGTAGCAATATTGAAAACAAATTCTCTCACGGTTTTTTTTATACTTTGGGAAACCGAAATGTGCAAATAGTATAAACTTTGTTTTGAAAATTCAGATGAAATCCCCAAAATACAGAAAATGTGGAATAACATTTATTTAGGGACGATGCCAAAATGCTACTAGGACCCCAGGAGTTTTCAAAGATGGACTGAAGACAAAAAGTTGTTCATAGACGAACTATATGTACGTTACGAAGCCTGAGCGTATTTAAATAACTATGCATTTATTCAATATTTTTATCAAAGAAGCCTATAAGCCTCCAAAAATTCGAAATACCAAATTACTGTTACTTCAATGCAGATAATGGATCTTTATATAAGAGGCCATTACGAATTTGAATTGATATATGCCGATTGCAATTGTATTCAAACATCCTCATATCTTAATGTTCACGTTTTCTATCATGATTTTAACAGACAGGCAGATGGATTCTGCTGCAAAGTTAGTATCCTTTGGATACCAATATTTTGGATAGAATATTTCTCCAATTTGGGGTATTTACCCTTACGCAAATAGTGGTAAAACATTTCAAATGTATAAATATAAAATCGAAAATATGTTCAAATTTCAGATTCTAGAACAGAGCATTAGTTTGTGAGACTGAATTGAAAACAGCGATTTTTTTCTTTCTGAATTAATATGAATTTTGAAGGTTAAATAATAAAATTGTATTATTTTGAATAAAATAACAAATTTATCGAAACCGAATAAATGATTTAAATTACATATTTTATATATACATATGTAAATACAAATGAAAATAACAATTTGCACTTTAATAACTGTAGTTAGTTATATAAAATTGAACAAAATAAATTTAATATTTATTTAAATTAATAAAAAAAAAACAATACGATATTTATACCATTTTCACGTGGAATACATTAAATGTTACTTTTAAATAATTATGGGTTTTTATTTTAAAATTTAAAAGATTTTATTTCAAGTAGCCCTAATTTGATTATGCTAGACTCTTACAAGTCTAACATGTAGTAATCAATTTATATTAATAAATATAGAGACTTCATACATTGAGTTTAATGGAATATTATTTAAAATTAAAATAAATGTGAAAATGGTGTAGACAACATTGCGAACATATAAAAAATTAAAAAACATTAAATAACAATAACTCTTTGGCATTTCAACATGCAAAGAAAATCAAAAGGCCAATCAATGAAAACGGAATAATTTCTGGAAAAAAATCTCCCACAACTCTTAAATAAACAATCAACATACACAGAGAGCTATGCGAAAGGAAAACAAAAAATAAACTTTCAAAAATAATCAAATGGCATTTATTTTCTCTCTGTGTATTGACGATTTCACATTACTTTTAACCTAAAACGCATAAAATTTCCTACAATAGTTTTAAACATTTCTAAATTTCTTTTGAATTTTACATCTGAATAGATTTCAATTGGCCTTCGATCATCACAAAACATTTATTTTGTGATTTTTTAGCTGTGGGAGTTTTGATGATTTTATTGATTCTAGTTCTCTTTATATCGAATTCAGATGCAGTAAAATTTTTCTCATTTTACTGTTGTCTATCTTCATATCGATCATTTTTTTGTGGGGATTGAAATTTGAAATTACTGCATTTTCTTTTCCTCATGAGCCTTTTTAACAATGGCCAATTTGGAGTGAGGTGATGCTGGTGACAGAGTACGATAGGGTGCCTCCTTTGTGCCATGCAATACCAGAGACCAATCGATTAACCAGCCGGAACGGGGTTGATTTGAATTGAATCGGGCCTAGAAAATAAAAACAAATATTTTTAATTGAAATTAAATAATATTTGTAATAATACAAACCTCCAACTTCCATGTACCATGAGGATATTCACCCCATGAATGGGTTGTCATGAAAGGCCATTTTGTGAAACCATCACGATGATCATCATCATTGGCGCGTCGAGATAGAATCATTGATCTGAAACAAAAAAAAATAATTTTATTTGAATATCCGTTTATAAATGAAGAAAAAAAAACAATTTTGTATTTGGCCCAAAAAAGCGTTTTCATAGCGACAAATCGATATATAAACGAACGACCAGAAACTCTTGCTACGCGAGTTGAAGACTGGGAATCTTAAAAAGTCGTGTAGAAGACCAGGGACGGTTTACAGACAAGTCGAAGGGCAGTATGTCTTTATGTCGATTAGCTGATGGGCCAGTATTCTCTCATTGACACGTTAAGGAGCATAGCCATGTTGAAGGGCAGAAAGAGCTAAGTCAGGAAGCCTTACATAGACGAGCTAAAGGACAGAGAGTTTTTAAAGACGAGCTGAAGGTTATGCAGACCTTCATTGTCGAGCTGAAGCCCAGGGAGCCTTTATAGACGTGTTGAACCCCAAGAGATCTTTATAGACCAGCGCTGACCAGAAAATCTTTATAGACGAACTATAGCCCAGGGAGTCTTTATAAACGAGTTGATGTCCAGGGAGTCCTTCTGAATGCATCTTTTTATACCCTTCACCAATTGAAGCCTAACAGGCAAAGTGAATGCTCCCATATATATATTTAACCGATTTAATGTAAACAGTCCCTATATAACTTTCGATTTGCACGAAATTTAGTACAGCCTAATCATTTAGGTCTAGAATGATGTCTGCCAAGTTTCGTGAAAATCGGTCCAGATTTAGATATAGCTCCCATGTATAGTTTCGTCCGATTTCATGTAAATGGTGCACCAAAGTCCCTATATATCTTTCGATTTGCACGAAATTTGGCATAACGTACTGAATTAAGCCTAGAGTGATGTCTGCCAAGTTTCGTGAAAATCGGTCCAGATTTAGATATAGCTCCCATATATAGTTTCGTCCGATTTCATGTAAATGGTGCCCCAAAGTCTCTATATATCTTTCGATTTGCACGAAATTTGGCATAACGTACTGAATTGAGTCTAGAATGGTGTCTGCCCAGTTTCAAGAAAATCGGTCCAGATTTAGATATAGCTCCCATATATAGTTTCGTCCGATTTCATGTAAATGGTGCCCCAAAGTCCCTATATATCCTTCGATTTGCACGAAATTTGGCATAACGTACTTAATTGGGCCTAGAATGATGTCTGCCAAGTTTCATGAAAATCGGTCCCGATTTAGATATAGCTCACATATATAGTTTCGTCCGATTTAATGTAAATGGGGCCCCAAAGTCCCTATATATCTTTCGATTAGCACGAAATTTGGTACAGCCTAATCATTTAGGTCCAGAATGATGTCTGCCAAGCTCCGTGAAAATCGGTCAAGATTTAGATATAGCTACCATATATAGTTTCGTCCGATTTCATGTAAATTGTGACCAAAATCCATATATATCTTTCGATTTGCACGAAATTTGGCATAACGTACTGAATTGAGCCTAGAGTTATGTCTGCCAAGTTTCGTGAAAATCAGTCCAGATTTAGATATAGCTCCCATATATAGTTTCGTCCGATTTCATGTAAATTGTGCACCAACATCCATATATATCTTTCGATTTGCCCGAAATTTTGCACAACGTACTGAATTGAGCCTAGAGTGATGTCTGCCAAGTTTCGATAAAATCGGTCCATATTTCTATATAGCTCCCACATATAGTTTCGTCCGATTTCATGTAAATGGTTCACCAAAGTCGCTATATATCTTTCGATTTGCACGAAATTTGGCATAACGTACTGAATTGAGCCTAGAGTGATGTCTGCCTTGTTTCGTGAAAATCGGTCCAGATTTAGATATAGCTCCATTTTATTATAGATTGATTTTATGTAATTGACGCACCAAGGAACCAATAGGAACAAAACGTTCTAAAGTTAGTATAACCTAACCTGTGACAAGTTTGTTTGAAATCGCTTAATATGTGGATATAGCTTACATATATTTTTTCGCCCGATATCAAGCAAATTGGGCATCATACTCCTCATGTTAGTCAGATTGACATCAAATTTTGCACAACGTACAAAATTGAGCATAGAATTACGTAGTTGCGTTTTCTAGAAGTACAGACATAGTCAACCGGATGACCTATTTATATTTGTTTGAAGTCGATTTACACACTTTATGGACAAATCTAGGTAGATTCACATTTAGATAAATATCACATATTTTATTTCATCCAATTTCATGTTAATAGTCCTGTTTAATGTACCCATAGTGGTGAAGGGTATCCTAGAGTCGGCCTCGTCCGACTTTACTACTTTCCTTACTGGTTCTTTATATACGAGTTGAAGCCCAGGTAGTATTTGTAGGCGAGTTGAAGTTAAGAGGTCTTTATAGACGAACTACAGCTCAGAGAGTATTTATATATAATCCCAGGCAGTCCTTATGAATGAATTGAAGCCCAATGAGTCTTTCATCTTCTCTATAGACGAGTCGGCGCCCAGGGCTTACTTATAAACGAGTTGAAGCCCAGAGAGTCTTTATTGATGAGTTTAAGTCCATGGAATCTTTATTGATGAGCTGAATGCCACGAAGACTTTATAGACAAGCTGAAGGCCAGTGTGACTTTATAGACAAGCTGAAGGCCAGGTAGATTTTATAGATAAGCTGAAAGCCAGGGAGTTCTTATAGACGAATTGAAGCCAGGGAATCTTCATAGACGAAGTGAAGTCCGAAGAGTCTTTATAGTGCAGTTGAAGACACGGGAGCCCTTATGAATGAATTAAGGCCCAGTGAGTCTTTCATATTGTTCTTGATAGACGAGTCTTTATAGACAAGCTTAAGCACAGGTAAGGGGTATTTTAGAATACCCAGAGATACTGAAGGCCAGAGAGTTTTTCTAGATGAGCTAAAGGCCAGGGAGTCTTGGATCTTTAAAGAATAGTTTTTGAAGGTTTTTGGGCTTAAAAGCGAGAGTTTTTTAAGAATATTTTTGGTAGAATATTCTGGCCTATAAACGTGGATTTGTATACCCTTCACCACACTGTGGTACAGGGTATTATGTCTTTGTGCATATGTTTGTAACAGGCAAAAGGAATCGAGATAGACCCACGGTTCCTTTTGAGAATATGCATAGAATCACTTTCCGAGTCGATTGACGCATGTCCGTCCATGTATTTTTGTTAACAAAGTATAGGATTTGGATGAAATTTGGCACAGTTCACTTATTCGGCACAAGGACGAACCCTATTGAAATTGGAGAAAATCGGTTAAGATTTAGATATAGCTCCCATATATATTTTCGCCCGATTTAATGTAAATAGTGTACCAATGTCCCTATATATCCTTCGATTTGCACGAAATTTGGCATTGCGTACTGGATTGAGTCTAGAATAATGTGCGTAAAATTTCTTGATAATCGGTACAGATTTAGATATAGCTCCCATATATAGTTTCGCCCGATTTTAGGTAAATGGTTCACCAAAGTCCCTGAAAATCATTCGATTTGCACGAATTTTGGCATCGTATCGTGCAAATCGGTTCAGATTTAGGTATAGCTCTCATATATTGTTTCGCCCGATTTTAGGCAAATGGTATGCCAAAGTCCCTATATATCTTCCGATTTGTACGAAATTTGGCATAGCGTACTGAATTGATTCTAGAGTGATGTGTGTAAAAGTTCTTGAAACTCGGTTCAGATTTGGATATAGATCCCATCAGGGACGTACGCAGGGGGCGGCCCGGGGGGCCCGGGCCCCCCCCCCCCCGAAATGAATATTTTTCACAGTAAATTTATGTTTGCAACATCGAATTTTTCCATTTTGCACTACCGGGCCCCCCCGAAATGAAATCCTGTGTACGTTGCTGGATCCCATATATATTTTCGACCGATTTAATGTAAATGGTTCCTTTGATTTCCATGAAATTTGGCATAGCGTAATGAATTGAGTTTTGAATGATGTGTGTAATATTTCGTGAAAATCGGTTCCGATTTAGATATAGCTCTCACATATATGTTCGTCCGATTTTAAGTAGGATCCAAAATATGGCCATTATGAACAAAACCCTCTGAAATTAGTACAATCTAACCTGTGACAAGTTTCGTTGAAATCAGTTGTAACAAACGAATGGCATGTTTATGGATTAATCTAAGTCGGTTCACATTTAGATAAAGGTCACATATGTTAATGGCCCTTCTGTTAGGATGCATTCGTTTAATATACCCATAATGCTGAAGGGTATCATATAGTCGGCCCCGTCCGACTTTACAACTTTCCTTACTGGTTAAATAATATGTTTGAAGCATTTTCGGTCTTATAAGTGTCGATTTCTAAAGAATATTTTTTGAAGGATTTTTGGTCTAGGAATTTTGAAAGAAAACATTTTGAAAGATTGTCGGCCTTATTTGGTTTTTTAAAGAAACAAAATTTTTTATAAAACATGTTGTAGTTATTTCATACCTTGTACCCATTGGGGATGTTAAGAACAGTTCCAAATCTCCTCTGCGTGATGCATTTGCCGAAATCACAGCCTGGACATGTTCTAAATAGTTTACCTCAGTATCTGTGCCCTTGCAGGCATCCGTTTTGATTTCCAAGAATAAAGAACGGCCAGAATAGATGGGACTAAAAATAAAAACAAAAAATTTAGAATCAACCATTAAATATTTAATCAAAAATCAATTCCTTACTGTGTTTCCGAAATTTCTCCGGCTTCACAATGATATCGTGGCGGTACGGTATGCCATTGTTTGGCCAGTGTGACCATGCCACCAGCATCTAAGACACCAAAGCCAAACAAATGATTAAACTCCAAGCCAACACCATTCATTGTCCAATGGAAACGATTTTTGGCATCGAACAGAGAATTCCGCTTCGAAGTGAGAACTGTCAAATGTTGAATATCACGCCATGTCAATTCGGGGCTAAATGAAAAAAAATTAAACAAAAATACAAATTTTAAATTAGTTTTGAAATTTAATGTTATGCCACCTTTAAAACTGTAAACAGAACGAACGACGTCATTCTTTGCGAATCCAATTTAAGTGCGCGTCCATATGTAGTGCTGTTTCCTTATCAACCAACACAACACACACACATGATTTACTTACTTTGCCTCCAAGGCCAATGCAAATACGCCAGCTGCTTCCGGTGCTGCCGCACTTGTGCCCGAATGTGTTGTAGTACACTTGCCGTATAAATCTGTTGTTGCCACACCAGTATTGGGATCTTTGGCACCATTACTAAATGTACTGGCCAATGTTGAACTGCAGCTTTCATCGTAATGAGCATTTTGACCATCGTTTATGGCGCTATTAATGGAAATTGTCCACATGGAAGCGGCATAGCCATCACAATTGCAATCATCCTCTTCGCCACCATCACCCGATGCCCAGACATAAATGTTGCCCAAACCATTGCGGCCCTACGGGAAATAAATGAATATAAGGGTGTTTGTGTGAGTGAGTGTGGGTTATTACATTTTGGTTACAATTGAATGATTTCCCCTCAACAAGTGAGAGGGAGGAAGTCTATGAGAATGTGTGTCCAATCTCAAATACTTATTCTTAGGTGTCTTTGGGTTTTTTCAGCCCATTATACCCACCTCATTAACACCCTGTACAATTGCACGCATTGTAGCATTACGAGGTCCATCCACTGTTTTGCCATCATCTGTTGGACCCCATGAAGCACTGTAAATGTGAATTTTATGTGGTTCATGGCCCATTGAATTCGCTTCAATCAAATCTGTCATATAAGGTTGATCCAACATGCGAATGCCTTTAAGAGTAAAGAAGAGAGGGAGTGGGGAATTAAATGTTATAGCTATATAAATGGTTTACCATATTTCCTTACGTATATTTTATTATCTACAATTATTTGTAATCTGACATAACGTCATTCAATTGACAATCCACAGGTTTAATATTTATCTGTGTGGTAGATAACACACACACACATGTATGTATTGCTATTTATTGACATTGCACAAGATATCTCATCAATTTATGGCAAATAATAAAAATCACTTTGCCCATGTTAACACATTTATGGCCATTTTGGTGTAGGTGTATTTGTTTTAATATATCATCGTGAATTGCATAATAGTCCTACTTCGTAGTTTTACGTATTCTTGTAAATATTAAAAGGATATATGTAGATGATATTACAAAAAATATAAAATTCTGGAAAATTCATAAGATACAATATAAAAACTTCAACCACAGTAGAGAGAGATTCTTCCACCCCTATTAATAGAAAGTCAGAGGGTCTTCACAGAAGATGTGAAGGCAAGGGAGTCTTTTTAGACGAACTGAAGACCAGGGAGTTGTTTATAGTTAACTTACAGGGATTATTTTACAGACTAGCTGAAGGAAATGTTTTATAGACCATAGTCTTTTATATACGATCTGAAGGCCAGGGAGACTTTGGAGACAAAGTGATGAACAGAGAGTCTTAATAACCAAGCTGAAGGCCAGGAGTATTGATAGTCGGGCTGAAGGACATGTAGGCTTTATAGAAGAACTGAAGGATAAGGGTTATTTTATATTCTCATAGATGCGATTCGTTTCTTTATACCAGCTAAATGACAGAGAGTCTTTCATAGGCGATCTAGGGCAGGCAGTAAGCAAGACCCAACCGAACCAGTAGACGACAAAACATAACAA